AAAATGACAGCGAAAATGACAGCGAAAATGACAGCGAAAATGACAGCGAAAATGACAGCGAAAATGACAGCGAAAATGACAGCGAAAATGACAGCACATTGATTATAAAATTCTTGGCAAGCGAGAATGATGCCACAGATTGTTTGTGCACATTCTTTGTTCCCCTAGCTAAACTTTTTGAAAGAGATAGTCCGGGGGAAACTTTTTCCAGGGTAAGAAAATTATTAATCATATTAATAATTTTTTGTTTGTTTGTTTGTTTTTGTTTTATTGTTTTGTTTGTTCGTTTGGTTGAATGGTTATTTGCCTTTATAGACCAAATTCAAAACTCTCACCGAAGTGAGGCCACCCGGCTAGTTCAGTTGGTAAGAGCGTTGGTATGTTGTGCGGAAGGTCGTGGTTCAAGCCTCGGCCGGACCAACACTCAGAGTGTTGAAATAACTGAGGAGAAGGTGCTGCCTTTGTAATTACATCTGCAAATGGTTAGACCTTCAAGTCTTCTCGGACAAGGACTTAAAACCATAGGCCCTGTCTCCCAACCCTTCCTAACCTACAGTAAAAATGGGGGACAAAAGAACCTGTTGAATTAATCGTATAAGAGTATTGGATTGTCTCCCGGTTCAACAGCTTATCCCAATCTGGAGGCATTAAATACTAACTTACTAACAAATCACTCATGATTGTAAGCTGCTACTATATCACCTAAATACGCAGCCCGTGAAGTCCTCCACTGATCATGATTGTGAAGCGCATTGAGACCATGTAAGATGCGCTATGTAAGAACCCCGTTATTATTATTATTATTATTATTATTATTATTATTATTATTATGAGTATTATTATTATTATTATTATTATTAATATTATCATTATTAATATTATTATTATATAAGTTGTGAACAAAGGGATCTGGCGTGACTCAAAGCAATCTGGCGTGATTGAAAAGTAACGAATCACGCCAGATTCCTTTGTTCACATCTTAAGCCTCACATCGGTGAGAGTTTCGAATTTGGTCTATATTCTTTGATTTCTGATTTTGATCTAAGTGGCCCTTGTCAAATGAAGTGCGGTAAAATAGCACTTTGAATCCAATAACTTTTTTCGTGCTTCAAAACACATAATCCTAAATGGATTTTGGAAAACTAAGTTTATTTTACTTTACAAAATCGTATACTACTATCGCAAAATATTTGCTGTGCCTGAGCTAATTTGCAGGTATCGTAGCGCGTTAATTATGGTTCTTCAATAAAATCGTGAAGATTACTCTGCGGTTTTTGAGCGCGCGCACATCGTGGGCTCAAACGCCCAGAGTTCAAAAGTAGCAGTCACCGCTTAAGGAGGCTCTGGGTAGTTTTGGTTTGGCACACCTAGCCGCATTAAAACGGCTACAACTTCGTCTTGAATGGCTCGATCTGCAAGCGCTTGTCACACAATGTCAGAAAAGGATTAAAGGTTTCAAAAATGATAAATTGGTTTAAAGCGGCCGTTTCATTATGACGTAATGATGACATCATAGAAATCGTTTACCGCTTATTCTCTCGAAAACTAGACCTAAACTTTCAAAGCGACTTGCACCAGTCGATAGTATTCATCAAGGCACCCAACATATTGCAATATGAAAAAAATGTATGAGAGCGTTTTCCAAATATTACGCCATGAATATTTTCATGGACTTTTACTATCATTTCCATGCATGTTGATTATTCACGCTTGACTTCCGTGTTATTCCTTATCGTGTGCTGTTAGTTGTGAGCGTACTGATTTTTATTTGACTGCCTTAAAACCCTTCAATGCATATGAAATTAAAGGAAAATATTTGTAAAAGATACATCTTTTAGTGACTTCATTTAGAAAAAAATCGTTCGACGACTTTTTGAATGCCGCTTCCATCGATATTTTCTATCGCTTTTGACAACAAATGGGGTCATTTAGCTTCATATCAAAAAATCCATAACGTTAGAAAGAAAGTCACAATTTGATTCATACTCAATAAGGACAGTGTCTATATCCGTACCTATATTCTAGCTACTAAAAATATTGAATCCAATAAACTAAAGTCCCGATTTTGAGGGTATAAAGTTGACATGCTGGAAATAATAGTAAAAGTCCATGAAAATATTCATGGCGTAATATTTGGAAAACGCTCTCATACATTTTTTTCATATTGCAATATGTTGGGTGCCTTGATGAATACTATCGACTGGTGCAAGTCGCTTTGAAAGTTTAGGTCTAGTTTTCGAGAAAATAAGCGGTAAACGATTTCTATGATGTCATCATTACGTCATAATGAAAAGTCCGCTTTAAATTAATTTATCATTTTTTAAATCTTTAATTCTTTCCTGACATTGTGTGACAAGCGCTTGCAGATCGAGCCATTCAAGACGAAGTTGTAGCCGTTTCAATGCTGCTAGGTGTGCCAGACGAAAACTATCCAGAGCCTCCTTAAGGAACACGGAGGAAATAAGCATGTTGAGAACAAGCATATACCATAACTTATTTAAATCAGTTTTTGAAGCTAGTGATCAATTTCTTTCAAATTACTATTATGCTTTAATCATAGCGTCAAGGATATCTACCATCGCGACCGAACGATGCTCGTCCAGGGCCATCAGGTACGCTAATTGCAAGGGTACGAAAAGGAGATAGAAAGCTGTAGGTCAATAATGATAAAGTAATTTTACTTGGCCCGTGAAACAAAATTGGTATAATCAGTGACTAACAGCCCAAGTAAAACAAAAAAAAGCAATTGAAGTAGTCTCTGCTACTGCGTATTACACTAACAGTTCTTTCACGGTCGAAGGAAAATCTCTCTTTTTTAAAAAAAATGACTTTGTCTACTACAAGAAATACTGAATACCTCAACCTTGACCTCCGTGTTCTTAAATAATATAATACTAAGAAATATTTGAAAGAAAACGTCAAATTTGAAAGCACGATGTACAGGTGGTTTGCGCATCCGCTGCTAATGCAACGCTTATCACCAATGAGACCCCGGGTTCGAGACATGTCGGGCTTGGGGTTATATGTGAGTAGAGTTGTTTGTTGGTTCTCTCCAGAAGTTCATATCTTAGTAGATAGTTATGAACTTCTGCTTCTCTCATGTGCTTCGAAGGCTTTTCACTGAGTTCTCCACTTTTCGTCCCTCAGCAAAAATCCCATCAATAAAATTAACCGTTTTTAGTGGAATATTTATTATTTTACCACAATTGTAAATTTTCTCGCGCGCTGATTGGTTAAAAAACGTCGTAAATAAGAGGCCATACCAACAAATGGCGTCATGCTAGATTTCGTGCAGTCTATTTCCTAGAGTTTTGTAGTAAAAAACAAATTTACGATGGTTTAGCGTGGTATGTCCTCTTATTTACCAYGATATGACGCCAAACGTTGGTCAAAATTAGTTATGGGCCCACTCGGCTTACGCCTCGTGAGTCCATAACATTTTGACCAACTTTTGACGTCATATCGTGGTAAATAAGAGGACATACCACGCTAAACCATCGTAAATTTGTTAAACAACTAATTTATTATGACATAATTAAAGACAAATTGTTTCCTTCCGTGATTCAAACTTATCTATTTCCAAAAAAAAAAAAAAAAAAAAAAAAATCAAAGTGTTTTTTACGGGTGCCATTACATTGGACTTTGCAGGTTCCGTGACATACTGTCCTTGATCTTTTTCTTCTTCTTGCAATTGGCATTCCTGTTCTGCATACGATACGATATTTCAGAAACTTTGATTTCTTTTTCTCTTGATATTCGTTTGTACGACCTCCCAGCATTACTTCGATGACCTAGAACAAAATAAATAGCTTTAGTTCTGGGCATAAACAATGTTCATGTAATTGTAGAAAATGGCATTTACCAGGTTGTTTTTCGCACATAAGCTGCTCAACCCATTCCATCTCGTACAGTCTCGTAGCTAATGTAGCCCGAAGGGAATGGTACGTAATGGCTCTGTAACCAGAAATACCTCGAAGTTCATTCAGTTGTTTCACAGTTGAACACAACTCGTTATGACCTATTAGAACTAAGCTGTGCCAGCAACTGCCTTTAGGTGCTTCGAGAGAGTTAGATAAAATGCTTTACCGTCTTTTCCACTAGAATCAAGTAGGAAAACCATTAATATAGTGTATCAACGAACAATACTTATCAGTTTAGTAATTATTTTTTACTCAAATTCATGAACCTCACAATACAGCGTTTTTTGTTCACTTTGTTTTCATACGCTAGCTCTGGCCCAAGCAATTCTTCGAAATTCAAATCGACCTCGAATAAGCCGTGTTTTTGACTTTGAAATTTTGAAGGAGTTATAAATATCTCCGATTCATCTTCCGATTCCATACTGTAAATGAATATCAAAGATTACAGGTTCAAAGCGAATATGCAGGTCGATCGCATTGAACTGTATTCAAAAAAACCCTGTCAAAAGATATCAAACAAAGAAGCCAAATTATCATTCGGAAATAAGCCTTTTCATAGTTTAAGAATCGATTCCACTGTGCATGCGATTTTATCCCGAATTTCTCACCTTCTTTTGTTTAATTAAGAACATGATGGCGTCATTGACCTCTACTACCAGACTCGAGCTCCCTTGCACACTTTCTTTTGTTTAGTTAATTAGCACCAATTGTCTTACTATTCTCATGAGGGGATACAAATTTAAATAAGAAAGAAAGATCGCGAAGCATTATAGAAGTGGGAGTCAAATGACACCATCATGCAAACGTCCTATTGCATTCTAGGTTTAGTCACATCAGAAGTTCACCCATAGAGTAATTTGCATAAAGCTGTGAAATACATTTTAGCGTATTTAGTACTAAATTACGCTCTAACTCCTCTGTTTTCTATTGTTTGAGTCTGGCTATTACCATCTAATAAGTAACTTTTGTTTCACGGGTTAATGAAAACCACTCTAGTATTATTCTTTTATCTGCAATTGCTGAACCACATACGGCATAACTATTAAATAATTCCCAATAGAAAATGCACGGATGAATTTTTCTAATTACTGAAATACAAAGAGAAGCATGTAAACATTCCAAAACCGATGGGGAAGAAAAGAAAATGGGTATGGTGGTCTATAAACAACCTAAAAATCGTGTGCTCGGTCTTGAATTTGAATGGAAGACCGAGCACTTGTTTTTTAGCCTATATATAATGACTTCGCCTTAGACTAATAATTGTTAAAACTATCCTATTGCAATATCATAATGATGCGAAAAAATTGGTTATTTCATAAATTTTATCGAACACCGGCTAATTCGCAGATTTAATTTGAATTTAGCTGGTTAGGTTTTGCGAATGGAGGAAAACCGGAAAACCTGGAGAAAAACCTCTAGGAATCAAACCCACACCCCACCAATCAAGGGAGAGACCTAACAAACTCTACTCACATTTGTTGCTGAGTACAGGAATCTAACCCGAGACTGACCCAGAGGTGAGAGGCGATCGAGACAAAGTGTAAAACCGCTCTATTCTGAGAAACGCTCATTAGTTCTTCTAAAGAGACCAATTGCAAGGAAAAATGCAGTGTCGTTTCATTTTAGGACTTAAGTACAAACCAAATAACTCGCCATCCAAGATCTCCGTCCAGTCGTAGGGCTGGAATAGTCGGATGACCGTACTTTCCCCTTTATCTTTGAATGGCCTTAGAATATCCTATCGCTTCGGCTCCAACAATCATTTTTGAAAGAGCTGTAATTATCAGATAAAAGAAAGAAAAAAGAAACAAAAGAGATTCTTCTGGGAACATAAAGCAGCAGTGGTACTGAAATGAGCTTGGTGGAACTCTGACATTGCGTTGCATAATATTAGGTTCTTCAAACTATTATATTAAAAGGTTTCTAATTATATCTCAGCTCCTGTGTTAAAATATCTTAGTTCTCGTGCCTGTCTTCGTCCTCGTCCTCGTCCTCGTCCTCGTCCTCGTCCTCGTCCTCGTCCTCGTAACAAGGGTTCTGTTGTTGTCATAGCAACGTCTTACATCATTTGATCTTTGGTTTATGGCCTTTGGCTGTCCTGGTTTAATTTGTTGTCATATTATAGTCATTTAACATTTTTCAGTTCATAATTGCGAGTGTATGTGAAGGCTCAAAACACTATCCAGCCTCCTTTATATGATATAGAATGATATAACGCGCATATACATATGAAATATGCACGTTATAGACATTAAAGTTATTTCTTTTATAGCCCCTCCTCTAGATGAGAATATCAGCTATGTTTGAGTTTAAATGGCTTCAAGGGAAAAGCAAGAAATTACTCGGGCTTTCTGTGGTAAGTCTCAGATTCAGCTGATTACACAGATATTTAGTTGCTGGAAAAGATAAAGCCACGGTACACGACATCGATGTTAATAGCGATGTTATACTCTTTTTGGAGCTCATAATCACGTCAGAAACTGTTCTGCCTTCCCTTATTTGAAAGGACTTTTGCTTTTATTAATGTTATTWTATATTCCAGTTATTTTTATTTTTATTCTATTTTTTCTCGAACATGCTTTCGATTTCAAGATACGAAGCATTTACAAATTTGTTTGCCATTCAGCAGGGCCTTCCACAAGGGAACTTGGGCTGAATTGATTTGTTATAAAAGTGATATATCAGCACTTGATCATGACCGTTCTATTTAAAGGGCCAAATGTCCGATTTCTATCAGATGTGTTTTATTAGTGAACGGAGCACAGTGCTGACGCCATCCGCGCGCGCGAGGTTCTGCTAGATCCTGCGACCTTCTTTCTTTTTGCATAAGCAAATTCAATACCGAAATGAAATTAGTAACTATTTAATAAAACGAATAAAATAACTTTGTCCGTGCTCCGTTCAGTAATCAGGCACTTAGAAAGCGCCTTGCGCACTCAAGTAGTGTGAGAAGCACTCGCCTAAGGCTCGTTCTTCTCCTTACACTTCTTTCGTGCTTACGTCACTCCCTGCATGCTTTATTACTGAACCAAGCACGGAAAAAAGCTGTTTTATTTGTTAATTTTTATTTTTATTTTTTCCTTTAGATCCAGATCTTTGGCAGAGATTAGCCGATGAATTCAACATACCAAGGGATTATCGTATGATTATTCTGATTAGATGAACAATTATCTCGCGTTCTATGTTTGGTTCAAATAGAACAGATACATATAAAATAAGCCAACTCTTGTAATATCATGACCAGATGAATAATTGAAGTCCTGCTTTTAGATCGTTATGCAACAAACAGTAGTCTAGAAAAAAAACTAAATTTGCCAAGAAACGGTTGGAGAACATGCCGATTACCTTTAAAAATCGATTCAAAAATAATAATGCGAAAACACTACTCACAAGGCACGAGGATA